TCCCCGCCCCTCCCCTCCTCCAGCGCCCAGGCAACCTTGGAACACCTCCTGCCTCACCCACAGGTCACAACCCCGTTGATGCCACCGTTTAATTAGTCCCTGTGAATGCAGCCTTGGTCTCCCAAGGAGGGATCTGTACATTCTGCCTCCTAGAAGTGCCTTCTGTCCCTCTAGCGTCTAGGGGAATAGCCCGCAGGTTGTCAGGAGGAAAAGGGAATTGCGCTATTTCCAAAACTGATGTTAGAGCGTGAGCATCTCCAGGAAAGCTGCTCCCCGGACAAGCACGCCGGGCCCTGGCCTTGGCACATACACCGGCTCTCTCATCACCCCCCACGAGGCTGCGAGGAAAGCCTCGCTCCCCTCCACCCACCCGCACCTCTGCTGGGGGGTCTGCGGACGGATCAGAAACCCGGGAGTCAGCAGGGCCTGAACTGAAACTGTACTTGCGCCATCCCAGCCCTTCAGAAACGACTGTCCCAGGCGCTCTGCTAACTGCCAGGAATATCGCAGGGGACAAGACGGGCGCGGTCCCGGCAGCCTGCAGCTTGCATTCTAAAAGGGGCAGGAGCTGCCTCCAAAACAAACCAGGGCACGAACTACAAAAGCAAATACGTGGAATGTAGGAAGATAGGAAGATATTTTAATGCTGATACGTATGACAGAGGTCTGCATGTTTATACTTAGTGACAGATGCACCAAATTTTTCTCCATCAAATTTATAAACCTTCACATTTTCACTATTCTTGCCTTTTCCAAGCCTGTTCCCTGAAAGCTCCCAGAAAAAGTCACAAAGCAGGGACGACCTAGTGTGCTCCCAATTTATGTCACCAGCTTCCAAAGGCCCATCACCATTACCCAGCAATCCTACTACGGTTCTTCTGTCGACACATTTTCCCTCTTCTCCTCGAGGGCCATTGACAAGTTTCTTCGAAATTCCATCACCCAACGTCCAATCTCTACTGTTCACTCGCTTTCATTAATTTTACTTTTCGATTATAGTTTATATTCAATATTACTTTGTTATCAGTTTCAGGTGTGGAGTGGTTAGACAATCACACACTTTACAAAGTGGCCCGTGCCCCCGATACGTCCAGCACCCACCTGGCACCGTGCATAGTTATTACACTATTATTGACTGTATTCCCTGCGCTCTGCTTTACATCCCCGTGACTATTATGTAACTGCCAACTTGTACTTCTCAACCCCATCACCTTCTTCACCCAGTCCCCCCAAACCGCCTCCCCTCTGACAGCCATCAGTCTGTTCTCTGTATCTATGAGTCTGTTTCTGGTTTGTTTCTTTTGCTCTTTAGATTCCACTTACAAGTGAGATCAGATGGTATTTGTCTTCACCTGTCTGACTTATTTCACTTAGCGTAATACTCTCTATATCCCTCCATGCTGCCTCACATGGTAAGACTGCATTCTTTTTTATGGCTGAGTAATGTTCCGTTGCATATACGTACCACAGCTTTTTTATCCACCCGTCCCTCGATGGACCTCATTTTTAACTCAAAAATGTCTGAGTCTTGACGAAACTATCTTAGACCCACATTGTAGCCTACGCCCTTCCTTTTCTCCCTCTCTCATTCACAGGAGTCAGACCTGCATCATTCCTAGTTGCCCCAAAACCTGGGTATGTGCCCTGACCGGGAATCAGAGCCACCACCTTTTGGTCTATGGGACAACAATCCAACCAACTGAGCCACACGGGCCAGGGCCGTGTTCCCACATTCTTGCAAGGACTTATCAAAGGTGATTTATTAGTCAACACAGCCTAATTAAATTGACGTTCAAAAACTTCAGAGAATATTGTTTCCAAGATGTCACCGGCTATTTTATCGATATTACTCTTAGTCAAGAGCAGCATTTGCCTTCGTGTTTGTTAGGCATCCGATGAAACAAAAGCTTTTCCAACACGACCATCCTCACCCAACCATGATCACAGCTCCCCTGATGGTTGTGCCTATTTCACGAGGCCGTGTAAGGATTAAAGGGGTTAATGTGAGGCGATCAATACACATCTGAGGAGTAAATAATCAGTCTGGCAGTTACCAGGGCTTTCTGAGAAACGGCAGGGTCAAAGTGGGGAACAGGAA